CCACAAATTATGTACATTATTCCCCACAAATACTCCCTGACACGCCCCCCTCCCCCCAAAAAAACAAGCAACACAAATACAACCCCCACCCCCCATAAGGCAATTCCATCAGTGTGAGGCCATAACCTCCCAAGACTTGCAGGTCCCCAATTTCCTACCCATTTAATAATTCTGAACCCATGTGTATTAAAGTGCAGTGCTTGTAGATGTGTATCTGATTATGTGTACTTAGCAGGCTGTGGAATATGAAGGATAATCCATATATGCGTTTTTATAGAAGTGGCTTATTCCAGCAAAGGGGTGGGTAAACAAGGAGTTTTCTCAGTACTGGGGTACCCAGACCTCATTACCAGCACAGGTGTGTCATCTGCTCAGGATCCAGTTTGACGATATCACAGCAGTGGCATTCATCTAGGATGCCCAAGTCATGACTGACAATGTTATGCATACAGTTCAAACATGGAGAGGTTCTAGAACCTGTGTCGCAGATAGGGGACACCAAATGTGAACCTTCTACTCTTCAAGTTAAACATTAAACTCGGCAGGTTTGTCTCCAGGAACAAGTATTTTCTGGTTGAAGCAATGGATGCTCTGGTGGCTCTGTGGGATCTGTACAGCCTGGTCTACGCTTCTCCTCACCTTCCTTTTCTGATTTGCAGAATTGCATTCCAGTGATTCTCATAGTTTTGGACTGATCCAGGTGGATGTGGTACTCTGACCTGATCAGGTTCTTGTGGGCCCTTCCAGATCATCAAGATCTTCTATCCAGTTCATTATACTGCTTCACAGTCACTGGCTTTAACTGCGTGGCGTTTGAAGCCCAGGGATAGATGTGATTGCTACAATGTTAAAAGGTAGGAGGTTCACTTCCCAGAAGGTCCACCATCGCACATGGAAGACTTACTTCAACTGGTGCAAAGAAAGAACCTTTCATCCCAGAAAATGTTCTGTGTGACGTATCCTGACTTTTTTTCACAATTATGTCTAAACCAGCAGTTAGTTCTTTATACAATCTGGTAGGTAACAAAATGTTGACAACTTTTTTTATTTTACAGAAGATTGAAATCTTTAGCGTGAATTCATAGCCCACCAACTGATGTATGGAACGTAGTATTTATACAATGTATAATTCCATACAATGCTTTGTAATATGGTAATTTCACATGTCACATTGTAATTTCTTCGATGTAATTGAATATCATATCATGTATCCTACTCCCTAATAAATAAATGTTGAAAAACACTTCACACCACTACCCCACATTACCTTCATTGCCCCACATCTACATATCGATGGTTCTTCTAAAAATATTTTAACTATCACCTGGTATATATGGTATATGGTATATTTTTGGAGAAACTGGAAAGTGGCAGCGCAGAATATGTGCAAATAGAGAAGGCTACAATAGAGAGAGAGACAAGGCAGGTTTTATAAAGCAATATAATTAGCATATAAGACAGTAGCTCAAAAAAATTGACCAGTAGCAGAAGAGTATATGTCATGGAGGTAGTGGACCCTATTTGTTGCCAGGCCAATGTAGGCCTTACAGAGGGCTGAGGTGCATGGTCTAAGAAAATGTCTGGTGATTGCCAGAGCAACCCACAAGTGATGATGGGCTTTGCTGTGGCCAGCTCCTAGGTTGCAGCTCTCGCTTACATTCAGATTGGCAACAGCTGACAACAAGCAGAATCAAAGTGTGGTACAAAAATCATCAGGCAAAGTCGTTGTCAAACAGGCAAAAGGTCAGGGAAGGGTAATAACAAGGATTGCTGAAAAACAGGCAAAAGTTCAGGGCAGGTGGACAACAAGGATCGTCAAAAAACAAGCACAGGTCATAAACAGTTATGAGAACTAAAACATAGGTACAAAAGCCTGGGAACAAAATATCAGAGAGGTCTACTCAGGAAACTCTTAAACTAAGTGAGCAGGTTCAAATAGCTTTCCTCAGCATGAACGTAGGAAGTGTCCTCCAGAACTCTTTGGTAAGGACCAGCAGGGAGAGTGTAAGAGCATCTGAACATACGGACCAAAAAAGACCTAGGGCATGTTTTTCGGAAATTGCAGAAATTAACAGGAATCAAGCATGAGCTGCAACATGAACAGGTGCACACAGTGACACAGATTGGTTTTGGAAAGAGCAAACATATGACAGTAACCCCCTTGTTAGGGCCCCTCCCCAGTGGCTTATTGTGAAAGTGGCAGTGGCATTCCTTCAGAAAATAACTTTTTCAAAAACAAGGTACTGCAGTTGTCATCTAGATACACTAGTTCACAATTTCTCCGCTTCCTACTCCTCTTCTGCATCAACGGAGACAGGATCCAGTTAGGTGCTATAGTTTTTAACAGGGAAACATTAATATATTTTGAATACAGAGAGATGGAAATAATTTATGTTTATTGTAGTGATGAGCCAAACAGTGGCGGAGCTAAGGAACAAAGGGCCCTGGTGCAAGATTTTTTTTTTTTGCCCCCCCCCCCAAAAAAAAAACCCCACTAAGCAAGGGGCATGTGGCACTGTCAAGCAAGGGGCACTGTCCTGGGGAATATGTACCAATGCAAAACAATTTTTTTGTGAACTAAATTGTGAGCAGCTCTTTTAATATCTGTATAAAATAAGTCAAGGCAACTGGACTTGTTTTATTGTTCTTGAAGACGT